ATTGCATATCAACTAGCTGAAATAGTAATATCTTTACCATTGTAAAAATAATGGTAAAAGAAGTAAATTGCCAATTTACTTTTATGAAACTTTATAAACTAGGATTGAATAATGTTAATTTTGTTATAACAATAGATGTGGTTTACCGTCGCTTTATTTATTGAGGTTTTGTTCGTAGAATTCGCGTAGAATCAAGGGGTCTTCGAAAAAATAGAAGCTCAATGAAATACAAAGAGGATTACGACGAAATAAATTTAATATTCCTCCTTCAGCTCAGGCATTTTCTATTATGAGAGAAAAGTAGCGATTTATAGACGCTATGGATATTTTTACGAGCGTTTGACTTAAAATGGTTTTTGTTATATTCGCCGGCGCTCTCGATTCACTTGGACGGGGCATTTTGGTAATCGATTTCTTTTTAAATATTAGATAAAACTTACCGTTTACCATCCGCTGTACTTCTACACCTAATTCATTAAATTCTTTCGATTTTGATAAAATAACTCAACAAAAAATATAAAGAGAATAAATGTTAGTAATAATATTATATAAATGTGAATGTTTACATGGATGGATGTTTGTTTGAAGTTATCTCCAAAACCGCTAAACGGATCTCGATTTAATTTGACATACATTTTATATATAAAATTCTCGTGTCACAATTTTAGTTCCCATACTCCTCCGAAACGGTTTGACCGATTCTCATGATATTTGTAAGCATATTGAGTAGGTCTGAGAATCGGCCAACATGTATTTTAAATTCCGTGCGGACGGAGTCGCGGGCGACCACTAGTGAGTCGATAATTCTGTAACAATTAGTGTCTTTATTACGTAGAACAGAATATTAGGAACTATCATAATATTTTTGCAGGAAAATAAAACACTTAATAATGTACAATTACTTTCAAAATAAGGTAACCTATATAACGTGGTCGAGAAACAAAACAAAAGCATTGTCATCTACGTCATAATAGCAGGGGCTCTTTAATTGAATGCACTTCAACCGCGTGGTGACCCGCATCTAGCTTTTAATGAATAATACCCAGATTAAATACGAAGTTATCTATAAAATATGTGTAACTTAGCACTGGCTATTTTACTGCTAAGACAGTTGAATAAAAACATATTGCCATCCCTCTCATTCTACATATATAAAAAAGAGACAACTTGTTCTAATTCAAGTATCACACTGCTCGAAATTTACAGGCTTCTTATAATTGCAATTTTCCTAATCTTAATAATATTATAAAAGCGAATGTTTAGATGGATGGATGAATGAATGTTTAAATGTATCTTCTGAACAACTGAAAAGATCTCAATGAAATGGATGGATGGATACATATAGAACATAGTCTAAAAGAGCACTTAGGATACTTATTTTGTTTTTGCCTGCGCGGACAGCGTCGCGGGCGACAGCTAGTCTAATAATAAAATGATAATCAATTACAAGTTTTGTTTTAACTTTTCAATCAAATCAGTACATACTTTACTGACTTTATAGCTTCACTTAAAGAAATAAAAATACTAGCAAATTCTTCAATGGAACACTCCATATTCAATTTCATGTTTCATTAGTCACAAGTGCGAAGAAAATAAAAAGAGACAAAACAGTCTGTCAACGTGGGAGCAGAAAGAAGGTAGAGGGGTAAGGGACTATTCAATCGTTTATTCCATTAAACTCGTATTGTAAGAAGTAGACTGTATAGGTTTTCTGTATGATAGAATCTCTAGTACTTACAGATATTATTCTAATTACGAATTTAAAAAATAAAATAAAAAAGTTATTATAATATATATTTTTTTAACCTTAGTAGTGTGCGACTAAAATGCTCACCGTAATATACCGTAATTAATGGTCCAATATATCTGTTCTATGTTTATCGTTAAAAACATTCTAAAAAAATAATAATAAACGTAGCAAATTTCGTAGCATCGTAGCTCTACAAAAGTCTATCTCATATAACTAGATAAAAAAGTTGAAGACTTATAAACTTGTTCGCTAGCTATTGAATGGATAACAACCTTTTTTATTTTGGATTTGATGTTGTTATTAATTTTTTAATCTATGCTCTACATTCTTAATTTTTAGTAGAATAGTAAGTTGTACTTAACAAAAAAAATTACAGCTCGAAATATTCGTTGTTAATTTTAATTTAATTTAAGAATAGAGAGCACTTCATTAAACGCACTGAATTTCTATTAAATTCGATATGCACACACGATGACGTTAATTCCCATTGCTGACAACTTGCACACATGTGTGCTAAGAGAGCGCTTTATTTAGGCGTAACGGCATGTACACACTAGGAGAAAGAGCCACGAACCAAAATAAAACAACGGAAACAATTTATTATAAAGTCCAAGATTCTATGTTTAAAATTAAGTATTCCTTATATTTTAAGCAAAATGTTCAAACCCTTTGTCAAGATACAAGCTTGATTGATTAAATGCCATGACATTGATTAAGCCTCGTTAAGAGCACCCCTTTTCATCTCAACATCACAATTGTTAACGTTTCTTAGGTCACTGACACAAACGGCAGATGTTTCCCCCGCAAGGTTAAAATTGTAGTCACAGAGTTAAATTTACACTTTATTTCAAATATCATACTGTCACCAAGAGAGAATAGAGACAGAGAGAATATGATACGACAAGTATACAAATGAGTCTCAAATAAATCTTCTCCATGCACAATATTTCTTACCAGCATCAAGGGAATAAGCGATTAACTATTGTTATCTCCTTCTGATTACTTATTTGTAATGTTGCCTTGTCCAGTTGTTTATTGCTTGTGGATTGCTTGTGGATAACTGCAGGGAGTTGTGCCAAGTTACCACAACAACGGTGCCTTAGAATATATATATATATATATTAGTGATTTCAGCTTTGTTTGGTGAACGCACTTAAGGGAAAAGACTTATCAGATTATAAATATCTTAGTTTATGAAAAAGTATTTCATATCAACCCTGCCACTCTTTTAAGGGTTCCGTACCTCAAAGGAGTACGGAACTCTTGTAGGATCACTTTGTTATCCCTACCGTCTGTCTTTCAAAAGCTTTTTTCTCAAAAACGCGTGAAGGTATCAAGCTGGCATTTATTTCCAGTTTAGGATAAAAAGATTGTGGACATTAGGTAATTATTTATAAAAATATTAATAAGTCTGTTGCATAGAATTTGAAGACTGCTGCGCTTTTTGTCCCATCGTAATATTGTGTAACGGTAAAATGCCTGTCAATCTCGGCTAGTCATAAATTTAGTGTGTACTACATAAATTTTCGGAAAAAAACCCTATGCGCAAATAGAATTCAAAAGTACAAAAAATGTTAACGTAATCTTAATTTGGTTGCTATATTTTAGTTTGTTCAGTCACATTAAAAAAATATTGTCACCTATTTCTACTTCCTATATCTAGGTCTTCATTCATATTCTTGTTAAATAAATTGCTAAATAATAAATAAATAACAAAACACGAGGCATAATATGTATATTATTCCAGTTTACTTGAGGACGTAATATAGTATTTTCTTTTATCGGAAATGGTAAATTCGCCTTCTTTAGCAACTAATGCGGCGTGCTCTCCGGGATTCAAACAAGTCGACCTACTTAGTGCTTTTGTTATTCTGAATTTTTTCGTCTCCGAGAAATACGAACGATATAACGTAATAAGTAAGTAAATAAGTAAATATTGAACTGTTCTAAATTAATATTTACGAAAACAATAATGCTTTATATAAAAATAAGGGATCGCCCGCGACTTTGTCCGCGCGGAATTAAAAAACTTAATTAGTAGCCTATGTGTTCTTCCAGACTATGTTCTAAATTAATGCCAAATTTTATTAACCTGTTCAGTTCCGCCGTTTTAGAGATACCTTCAAACAAACAAACATCCATCCATTCAACTAAACATTCGCATTTATAAAAATATAGTAAGAAGAAAGATATTTCTGGATCTCTATGTTATAGTGCGTAGTAAATACACGTGAATTAAACTTTAAAAATATTTTATACATAACGAAGCGTGATGCGCATACTCTATCAGTGAGATAAAGGAGCCTTTCATAAGGAAGCACGAATTAGTAGATAAAATGACATCGTAAAACTCGGAAAGGTAGAAAAGTCTATTATGCAAATGTATGTCTGACAAAAATATAACCTCTCACTAACTTTGCGAGAACAATATCTTAAAGGATAATTAAACTAGACCTTTCCATATAAATACGTATTTAGTAATCAAGTACTATACAAACAGCTAATATATAGCCTAATAAATCGATGTTTCGCACTTGATGTCAAATTATGTAGGCTAATTCTCCTTTTAACGTTATTTTACTTTAGATTTCGCTCCATTTTGTCTATCTTCGTACAAATAACGTAAAAGCTTTAATAAAAATACTATCACAAACGGCAAAATTAAAGGAAAAATATTAAAATAAAACTTATTCTAAGTTTACGTACACTAAAGTCAGCGCTATCATTTAGTTTGTGTCAGTTGGCATGGTAAGACGCGATAACAAAACAAAACCCGCATGGTTCAGTGATTTATTTCTCGTTGTTGTTAAGAAGTATAATGCTACGGACAAATATTATGTGTTTCTTTTTTTTATATCGTGGCCTTAATATTAAAGTTACCAGATAACTGAGTAAAATCAGTTAGACCGAGACAATACCAATGCATGTTTCTATGACTCCGTAATTGATACTTCATAGCAAGACCCAATGTCACGTCTCTCTAGCATCCTTATATTCTTTTCTTTCCCTTAACTATTTCTCTATCCTAAAGCTACTAGTACTACGGCTCACCTTACGTCAAATTCCCTGGACTTTGTTTTCTCAGATGTTTATTTGTTTGTGTTCAATATGTGTATGGTTCTATCAAAAATCCGATTTAAAACACATTGTTATTTCATTTTTTCTAATATATTGAATGGTATAAAACATAGCATAACAAGAGCAGTATTAAGAGGTCCATGGTCTCTGTCTACTCCTTTGGGGTAAGGGCATGCGTTATGTTGTTGTTGATAGCAATATGTATGTGTTTGAGCATTCCATAATGCAAATCAAATAATTAACAACTAATTTGTGTTGTGTATTTGCAGTGTGAGTGTGCCGGGCTATGCGGGTAGCCTTGCCGCTTCGCTGCCGGGCGGCGGGGCGGCGGCGTGGGAGCGGCTTGGTGCTGAGTTGCTACTCTCGGGGCTGGTGGCTGCCGCGCACTTCGCCTGCATGGAGCGCCGCTGGACGGGCGCTGCGCCTGCACTCCTAGGCGCAGCATACTGCGCTGCAAGCTTCGTCTCTGTAAGTTGACACATAACTTTACAAATGGCCAGTTTTAATTAGGTGCCAATAAATAGAATTCTTACCATACTACTGATTTCAACTTACGGTACAATAATAGACTTCAATAAAAGAAATTATGTAAGACCTGAATCGAAATTGGAAGTTATTTGTGAAAATTACGTTCATAAATTTACTTTTAAAATAAAATTGTTGTTCATAAATTTCTCCAGAAATTACAGTATCAAGCTATGAGAATTCTCCGTAGAATAATTTACAATGTTTAATGATTCTCTGCTTGATAAAAGTAATAGTTATTTTAATATGAAAAATGTTAGAAATTAACTATCTTAAAATTGTTTTTGAATTACAATTTAAGTTCTTTCTCCAATTTTCTTTGTTCAGTTGAAGTGTCTTGGAAACATTAATTACATTTTAGATTATAATTTCGAGGGTTTAAGTGTCTTCTTCTCAAAATTTACTTAAATTAAATCAGTACTACAGTTTTACAAAACTGAATATTTATAACTAACGCTTGGATCAACTAAGAACTTAATTCGATTTAATTAGATTAAAACTCGGAATTATTCATTAGATAAGATCGAATCAGTAACATTTATTGGGACTAACAGCCGATCTTTATGTGGGTACGCCCTCAATAAATTGTACCCAGCCGGACTGGCTTGTTTTACGAGTTTCTGTTGAGTCTAATCGCTCCTGGCGTACTGCCTACAATACTTAGATATTGACCATCGTAGCTAAGGATACCTAAAGGAATAAACTCTGATTTCATTCTCTGAATTGTATGTTATACGATCCAACCTATCTACTTATTTATTTATATACTATTTAGTCAATATTTCATCATCTTTTTAGTGAATATTTACCTGTTTTTCATAATAACACACCAACGCAATGAGAGGGAGAGCATAATTAAATATTTTATCAAAATTAACACAAATATGTTTAACTCAATAAGCAAATAAAATGATAATCTGCAAACATGAAATAGAAATTTCTAGAATAATCAAATAAGCAGTCCGCAACACCGGTTACGTAAACTATTTTATAGGCCGTAAAATATTGGGCATTGCTTGAATCATAAGCAGAAAATATTGTATGGCGATCCTTCGCCGATTCGCCGAGGATTATACTAATGCTAGGGTTGCCATCTCGTTTTGTCTCGCGTACTAGATGCCCACCGAGAGGATTTTAGTAGGTATATAACACTGTTTAGCCCATGGAGCAGGGTATATGTGAGTAAAGATCCCTCCCCTCCCCCGAAATAAAAAAAGGACTGCTGCCTCTTGTTTGACCAACTCTTTCGGGTTTGCATGGTATATTCGGGCTACGGTTTAGAAATGATGTAAAAAACGAACATCTTTTTTCTAGTCGTTGCAAACGATCAAGGGTGAACATCGTTGTTTTAAGTCAAGAGTAATTGAAATTAGTGGGATTATTGATTTTGGCAACCCTAAGTGAAGCTTGGCTCGCCTACCTGCGCATTGTATCGGCCTCTGACGGCAGATGCTGGATCCGGGGTTTTTTTGTTCCATCTGTCCATCTGTTGAAGTGAGTGCGGTGTAAAAAAAATCGCGGGAGTGTACAAAGATTCCTTTTTCTTACGTAACGTTTTACAATATATATCCCATACATTCGTATGCTTTATATTGGTTTATTGTGCCTACAGTTGTGCGGATGGATTTTAATATTGGATACCAAACATACAAAAATGCTATCTGTGCTACAGTTTTACGTAACAAGATTTTTTTAATTAAATTTGTCATAAACTTACTAACAATTTACAACGCAAGCAAATGTTTACCAAAATCATACATATTATGAATAACAGAAACAAAAATAATTAACATTCACTTATTCTTTCAAAAATTGTAATAATTAAGACTGAAAAAGTCATATTTCAAAATTAATTACACCTCAATAGAGCTTGAGTCCACGGCGTTGTGTCCGTCGCAAAACGTTTCAACAATAACAATAACTCTTTGTCTGCGTCTTAATTACCAGACATTACGAGTCTCCAATGAAAAGGAATTTCTTTCATGCCATCTCATGCCTCTCGGCATTTCTTGGAAACTATTCTGCGTCAGGATTCAGCATTTCATCTCATGTTGCATTCAAGATAAAACCGTCAAGCGTAACGAATTCTATTTTAACTATATTTTGAGGTTATCTAACAGAAAATAAACAAATTGCAACTACATTGATAGATTTAATGTTATACAAAGCTGTTATAATTGTAGAAGTGAAAATAAATTTATGTTACGTATAGTTTGCACGATTGTGTTATTCTTACTGCGATTCGATTACATTTACCATTGATTTACTTGTGAACTGCAAAAACCTTCGCTATAAATAAATCAAAAGTAGAAAGGTAACAGATGGACAAAACATTCATTGTATAAGATTGCAGGGCACACGCAGCGCCCGCAGGTAGGCTGCATTTGTTACGTCTTCGTACCGAGTAATTGCACGGAGCCCTTTGAATGGAGACATTTTTTTTGAATCGCTCTCTCGTTTCCGTTGCTATATAAAAGGTAAAAATTGCTCGAAGCAGGTGCCGTTAATTGTAGTCCTTGTGATCATGTGTATAAAGACGTGATTGGTTTGAGTGTGTGGATAGCAGGAATTCTGCAGGTATAGCAGCCTGATAGCAGCATTGTTCGATCAGACAGCTTTTGAATAGTTTACTTTGGAACAATCGGCGTCAGCGCTGTTCAGTGCACAGGTAAAATCGCCTGACGATTGTGACATCGAACACGGAAATAAACTACGACATACAAATAATATAAGTACATGGAAATACATAGCTGAATATGCTAGTCTACAATTTACACACTACGTTTTGATTTCAGATGCCTTCATTGAACCCGGCTCGATCACTGGGCCCATCCTTCGTGCTATCCCGATGGGAGAGCCACTGGGTGTGCTGGGTCGGCGGTCTGGGCGGCGGCGTGGCGTGCGCGCTGCTGCACGAGTGGGGCACGCGACGGCCCCGCGCCAACACCAACTCCCGCGCCTCCTCGCCAAGAGACCTGGACGAGTTGGACAAGCCTGCATTCCCGACGCATCATTACCGACATGCGCCCTCATACTGCTCCGCGACAGCGCCGCGACCAGACAATACTGAACCACTGTACTCTGGCAGCAAGTCACTGTACTGCCGCTCGCCGCCGCCCGCGCGCCACGCGCTGCACAGGTCAGCCGACGGATCGACATGTCTCACGTAACTATTGGTGTTGTGGCTCTTGTAGTTCGCGTAGTCAATAGTTATTAGAGTAGCCTCTAGTCTATACATACAACGGCGAGTTTCAGAAAGTAATACTTTCACCATCTTTTAATTCGTGTTTCTAGAACGTATATCATGATGCATTAATGAATTTGTTTTCACAAAAGATCGCTAATTCAATGAAGTTTTTGGAGAAACCGGAATATCCTTTACGAATTTCTTGTGCAAAATTTGTGATAAAAACCACACTTTAACTGTAATATCCTGAACCGGCAATAAACAAAAGAAAAGTAAACTTTAAAGTCGCTATAAATATGCTCACAGTAAAATTGTGAGATTTTTGTACGTGTAGGTCACCAGTCATGGACCACTGGTTACTTAATCAGATGAGATAAGCTTCCACGTACAAACTCAACCGACGCTACGAATCTCAAACATCAACTGAATAAGCAAAAGAGCTTTCGCAAATTTAATAAAGTTTGTCTCATCTTATTACGTTGCGAATTCGAGACTACGTGTACAACACGAAGATACAAGGCTAAAGAATAAAATACATTTACATGTTTAATGTAAAATCTGGAAATCTATATTCGTATACTGTTGCAAATAACCAGAAAAACGTATAAAATAATTTACACTCAGGAATCTGTAATTAAAGTTACTCACGAATGGAAAATATTTAAAACAATGCAAACAACAACATTACAGTACGAGCTCCGGACCGATTGTGTTCAATTTATTATTTAAATTGCAAGTAATTAAAGTTAAAATATACCGTTAAACATTTTTACCATATTAATTTTTAAAAGCGGAATTTTTGATCACGATCAACTCAGAATTCTTAATTATAACTTCACTGTTTCAAAATGTTTCCAAAGATAAAATTGTATCGATTATATTTATCGATAGTTAAATGCCTTAAGCAACGTAAAATTATAAAAATAAAATATCTTAAATCAAACAAGAATTCTCGCAGCAAATTAACACATTGTCAACAACAGTTGATTAAGTTAACGAGGTCCAAATAGTAACGCGAGTCTGCTTGTATAAGTAAGAATGGGGGTTGAGGAGTCGGGAGGAGAAAGGATTGAGGAATGGGCAGGAGGGTCCAATTAGGGCGGCATACGCGTGCCTCACACGAGCCGGCATTGATTAAACGACGCCGGAGAAAAACTTACGGCTTAATTAAACCATACTTTATTCGACTCCTTGAGTATACTGAGAATCATTTTATGTAGTTACAAACCAGAGTGTTGCTACATAATTTAACAAATACAGCTTTAATACTTGATTGCTAAATTATATCGAATACAAAATGGACGAATCTTACATTGATGTATGCATTCAGATAAAACTATTAATTTGTTAAAAAAGCAAATGTGGTACTAATAAGTAAATCCTAATAAAGGCTCCATTGGGATGTTCTCATTCGAAAGGCTTTTAAACTGGTGTCTTTTGTGTTATGGTAGGTCGCAGTCGGTGTACAGCAAGGGCAGTAGCGCGGCCGGAGGCGGCGCGGGGGCTGGGGCGCTGGGCGCGGCGCAGTCGCTGCTGCTGCGACCGGCCGCGCATGCCCTCGCGCTCAACCAGAACGCGCACAACGCACAGCGCGACCCCGCCTACGGCACCGCGCCAAACGGCATCCGCCCAGGACCCGCAGGTGCGTTACCCTTCATTGAGCCCTGTCTGGGCTTGGTAATACAATTTTTTTAATACCCAAATTATTGTAAAATTTATCAGCTTGAAACAATAAGTTTACCAATTGCAGGTGCATCAGGACAAGAACGTCGCGAATCAGTGTACAGCTCGGGGCCGCGGCGCGGGCCTCTGTCATCCGAGGATAGTGCGTACGGTAGCTATGCGGCGCATGGCACACTCACACACGGCACGCACGCCGCGCACGCTGCACACGCGAACCACGCGGCGCACGCGCACACGCACGGCCACGCCACACAGACGCGCGCATTCCGCGGACCGCACCCACCTGAACATTACTAGCGACGCGCCTCGCAGCACAATATTGCGCTGCTCTTTGACGTTTGAACGATTTCTTAATCGCGTCAGTTTCGTGACAAAGTGTATAAGTGGAAATACTATTCGTGAGTGATATTTTTGATGAACAGCAAAACGCCTGCAAATTCCAAGATTTTGTAGTAAAAACTGTTGCAAAAAACCTTGGCTTATATCTATGTGAAAATTAAAATATAAATTAATTATAACTGCAAATTACTACCTATATAAAATATTCTCCAGTAGCCAAATAAAAACATCAATCTTACTATGAAACTAAGATAATATAAGATAAATATCTTACTAATACTATATATACCAAAGTATTATAATAGTGAATATTTGAATTTGAACTATTTTAGTATAATATAAATAATTGTTAATATTCTGTATAAAGAGTTGAACGACACCATAGAATCAATTGGTCCATTGGAAAATAAATTCTTTTATGTCTTAATTTCAGATGGATGTTTATAATTTTGGCAAATGTTGGTTGTAAAGTTGGCACGGTAATGTTTATAATTAATAACATATTGATCTAATTGTTGCTTCCTACACATACATATAGTATGTTAAAAACTTATTAAAATTGTGAAAAAAAAACATTGAATTATATAATATAATAGATAGAATTGTTAAAATATCTTCAAGAAAACTATTCCAGTATAAGGGCCGGTGTACACAGGTTGTTTTGATCAGACCAAAATGGCTTGTTCTAAGTTGTCGGTACTATCTGTATAAAGCAAGTGTATAGCGACCCTTATGACATTTAATATAAAATTTATATTATAAAATACTGTTCGGTAAATTGTAAATCGTAGATTTTATAAAATAGAATTTCTATCAGATTTTATATATTGTTGTAAATAGTAACTGTTCGTACTTTTCACTTAACTAAAATGAAATAAATAAGAAAATTCCAATTGAAATTTATTAAGGTGAGTTTTTACTGACAAAAAGTGTACAAAACTATCGAATATACCCTTTTTTCAAGTAGAATGCGAGTCGATGCATTACATATTTATGCGCAAGTGATGTTGCAGTGAAACCTGACCTTATATAATAGTGTAAAAGGTTACCAAAAGCATTGTTAATAATGAAAATTAACTCTTTCGAAAGTAACTCTTCTAGACTCAGTTATTGTGCCATATATTTAAAAGAAATTGTATAAATAACAAAATAGCTTATGATTAAAAGACTAAATTTTATATTTAAGATAGGTATAAATACAATAAAGTCAGAGATAAACAACATTTTCACACTTTTACGTTTATTTTTTTATTTACAAGACAAATGTTTAATTCTATATTTACTTGTAACTTCTGTTTGATCAGATTTTATTCAGTGTTCCACATTTAGTAATTATAAATGAAAATTAATGCACAACGAATTAGAAAAATTACGAGAAATCTTACACGTCTTGTTAACAATGTAAATGTTACAAGAAAAGTAAAAGCAATTATTGTAAATAAACTTATTTCAATATTAACTAATTAAAATAAATATAATTTGTACATAGTTTTGAATAAATATTCCTACAGACTATACGATTTATTATTTTGATTCTTATCTGTGAAGAGTAGCTGTCATAGACACACCAGATGTATATCATGAATATTTGCGATATGTCAAAACTCTATGTATCTTCTCGCAAATTTTCCTGATCAACCTTCAGTAAACCAAGCGGTATCCTTATTCTGTAAATTTAAATGGCTAAATTCGATTAAATTAATTATATCCAGCCAGCTTAAAACCTTAACTAATATTTTTTTTAATTTTATGACCTGGTAACATAGACCTTTAGGTCATATCTTATTTGGAAAATGTTCATTACTACCTCAACTAAACTTTTAACAGGAGACAGAAAAAGAAACACCATAGATATTTAAAATGCTTTTAATATTTGGAATATTATGCTAATTTTAAATTACCATAAACAATATTAACTATGACGAAGCTAAAGCACGTCGCGTACATGTGAAACAACCCAAGACTTACGGATTGACTAAAAATTATTGCATAAAAAACATTTAGATGTTATATAAATTTACTAAGAACCATATTTAGACCGTTTTAGAAATAAAACAGCGGCAGTGATACTGAATATGAAAATTCATGAACATTTTATATCGTCTTATATTTAAACACAAAATCACACCGATCAAGCTATCTGGCTTTGCCTTACATATAAATCAACATAGTAACACATTAAAAATAAATATTTCACTGTGCTCACGAATGTTATTTTTATCTTACAATTAAACCACAATTGTTATTTCCATTTGGTTTATTACTTTCATATTTGGTATAATTCAATTCATAGTTTATAGCGGCTTCTAATTTCGCATGAAACGCTGTTAAAACATTTATGCCAGACATACCCATCCGATGAGATGTAACTCTATTCGTCGGTGTTTACCACGAGCCGCTATTAAGTTTGACTTTTTTAATATAACTGTACTAATAAAATCTGCAGTGATTTGAAGCTATTTTTGTGTACTAAATAATAATATCTTGAATAAAATGACATAGAAATAAATATAAAATGTAAAAAAATGAAAAAAAAGTATAAATACGGCAAGCTTTTTATGGGAATAATATTTTTATTGACATTACGTTATTCTCATAATAGTGACATTTATATAATTTAATAATTCCTACGTAAATAATCATATATTAATAATCGTAATGCAATTTACAGGAGATAGCTTACGACTAATGTCGCCGCATTTTAAATTAAGAACAATTGAGTAATAGCTGCATTCATTTTATTATTAAAAAAAACAATGAACAGTGTACAAATTGTAAAATTTTGTCATACGATTATTTACGTTGGAGCCATCAAACTGCAAACACTATCACCTGCTGTATTTCTCAATTATGTTTGAAAAATAAACTGAAATCGTCGCCCAAACTTGCTCCCCTCTATTCCGTGCCGGTGAAGTCATATATTTTACCCAGTCTTAAGTATTTCCTAAACTTCTACCTCAATATTAGAATAAACAACGTCGCTTATATTGTAACCCTTTGAGTACAACGCCGTGTAAATGCGAATTCAAATGTTGCCTTATTCGGTACACTCGCACCAATTAGCACTCTTTTGACATTCCACGAACCTTAAGAACTTGACCCTTTCCATACACAAAAATAAAAAAAATACTGTTAAGCAAACATACGACATCTCAAAAGCCAAAACTATTATATGAACTTGAAGACCTAAACAATGAGAATATTATCAAAAATTTTAAACAATATTATAATGCTTGCTACACACATAAGATCAACATAAAATTCAATATGTAGTAGCTATCTGCAGTTACAACCTTTTATAGCAACCAACTAAATACTGTGCCGTCGCATTTCTATATAATTCTGTAAACTACGGTCGATTGGCAGTATGGCTTCGAATGAAAATTATAGTTTCATAAGTATGGATTTAAAAATTTCAGTGTAGTGTGTAACGGCCATTATATCGCTTTTATCAATTGGGTACAAAACAATATATTTAGCAATTAGGCACAATTCGGTCGACAATGATTTACATATAAATTTCACGGGTCATTAGTTGCAACTAAAACAGTAATGTATCAGTCCGATATTTCTATAATCAATAAGTAAAATTGTGCTAAATTTAACAAGAATCTAAATAGAAGATTTATAATTAATTTCCTACTTGCAGTAAATCTACTTAATAATGTAATACATTCGAGATCAGATAGTAAGAGAAAGAAAGAGAAACCATTTTATGTTTGTGCTAAGATAAATAAAATGCAAAACATCTTTCTAGTCTGTCTATTCGTGGTTATAATCATGTATTGAAATACAGTGTAAAGATGTAAACATTTCGATCTGCAATCGTGTTGTAAAGAGTATCCAATATTATTCTACAATTATCCAACTAACATAACTCTAATTAATCCGAGACGAAGATAGCAAATAGGGTTTACGGAAGTGCGCATTATTTTCTACACCAACTATTCGACATACTCTTACAGGTTTGTTACAAATAACCAAAAATGGCGCGAAATAAATTTATGTACTAACGCATCCAAAGAGCCCATACACACCACATTAGTTAAACGTAGATTTACGCATATACGCCCGTTAGTATCATTATTAAAGTGCGAAAAAAGATGTAGCCGTCTTATACTTCGTAAAGCAATAGGACTTTTGATGCTTACTCTGCAAAATTATTATTTCTTTAAGTCTACGCAAACAGGCGTATAAGACATCGCAAGATTCACTCTCTAAAGCTAACTAAAGTATGCAGTGTGTATAAGGCTGCAAGTGACTGGCGACACAACATATTCCTATTTACGCCGGCTGTACTGTACGAAGATCGCGTAGGGGTGCGTATGTCAGGGTGTTGGCGGGGAGTGGAGAAGCGATGTGCGCGGGGGATGCGGGGGAGGCGTTCAGCACACGCAGCCGCTCTCGCTGCCTTCCTGCTCGGAGCCCATCGGAGACTGCGTCTGCAGATCCACGGCTACACACACTGGGTTAAGGATATCATTGAAAAATATGTAGACTATCCATTTATTATAATTCAATATATCAGACTTTGCTAACTGCGTTATTATCAGATCTGGACCCTCCCAAAGGCATGTTGAGCCACGTACATATTTAAGATCAATTTTTAACAGTTAACCATAATAAAAGTTCTGTCTACTGGAATTCCGTAGTTACCTACGTTTAACAGTAAAACAATTAAATTATTCAAACTTTCGTAAGACATTATAATAAACAGCCGCTACCGGACGAATATACGTGAGTGTTTAGCCTTTTTTGTATCAGTTTAGTAAAACATTGTTATGAGAAGGAACAAAATTTAAACAATATTATGAAGGTGTTTTAAAGTTTTTATTAAAATCATTATCAGCGTGAGGTTCGGTACTTGATATTTACACATGTCAACATACGAGATTATCAAATCGAGCAGACATTAATAATCTACTAAAAAGGTGAACAATCCTCAATTCAACTGCAAGCCGTACGGTACACAAAACAAGTCATGTACGGTCAGCAAATTCGTATATTACTTAAAAAAATTACAAAAAAAAACATAAATAAACATGGAATTCATTAAATATTGCTCATCGTTTGGGAATATAACTAATAAAGTAAGATTTATAATTCTAAAATTAAAAAGAAAACATATAATAAATCACAATATAAATAAATCTATAATATATTATGAATCTCTTCAAAATCTGCAAACGCCCATGTCCAAATGTTACCGAATATATAAAAGCTCGCTGGAATGACGCATCTCAAAATACACATAATGTGTAAATTAATACATAATATATTATGTAAATGTCATAAGAAGGCTAGCGGTGAAAATATCACTAATAGAAAAAAGTAGTCTGATTATTAAAGTCATAAGATTTTTTTTGCCTTAAGCACTAAAGTAATAAATACTTAATATACAATTACTGTGGGACCTCTCTTTTTAAATATATAATGTGGTATTAAAGTAAAACATTTATTACTGCTTATTTATTTTTATTTTGGTAATTTCAAATAGTATAGAGGTCCACACAGACGCGTGCTATATACAACACAGAACAGCTCCCAAAAAATGCTAACCTACTGTAAACTACGCTTGGCGCAATCGCAATCTCTCAACACAAATCGTAAACAGCCCTTAAATTTACCCTAACTTTTACTAATTTCATCGAAAAAAAGCGTCTCGTTGTTTGTAAATAAATGGTAATAAAATTGCACGACGTAAAAACGCCTCGTCCACAAAATACAAATGTAAAGAGTCGTAAGTGTACAATATTGCTTTATTCAATTGACATTTTTTAGCGCTTTACAAATTATTAACGCCTTAGGGTCAACATATAAAGACAGCTACAAACAACCAGCAATATAAGCAAACGGCGGTCCGTGTATAGTTAAATTCAAACGCTAATAACCCAACAATTGCTTGAAATAGTCCGTGTACATCGGCCTTTATTCTTCCGTGGATATTAGTTCAGTCTTATAGACCTAAAACATTTAGCTTACTTAACACGTTTATTGCGCGGAAAGCAAATATCTTTGGAACGCAACTATTTTAACTCACGCTTACTAAAAGCTATTATAAAGACATGTATAGAATACACCAGTTTTCAAGGAATTCATCCGCGCGGAATAAAAACCGGGTCTTGACAGACAGACATACAACAAAGTGGTCCTATAAGGGTTCCTTTTTTTTCCTTTCGAGGTACGAAAACCTAAAAACAAGTCAAAATATAGCCTATGTGACCCGGGGATAGTGTAACTACCCCACAGTAAAATAATTTTTCAACTTATGTCAGTTTTGGAGCCTATTAGTTTATTAAACTGATAAACTTAATTTGTTATTAATATTTTTTTTGTTTGCGAATGTTTTTTTTATGAAGTCGGCTTTCTTTTTAAACTATCAATAAGAAAATAGTTGCGTTACAACATATGATGCAGTGAGCCGGACCAGCTGAGAGTACGCTATCAACTAATATCACTTAAGCTGACACAAGTACATTAAGATATCAGATCGTGTTGTCGCCTTAAACAATGAAACGCTATAAACCACTTGACACTAAATAATATTGAAAACCAAACAAGATATAAACCAAAATATGCCACAACTTGAAAAAAAGTTGTTAATCAAAAATATCAAGAAGATTATCAAATTAGGGAAAGGATTTGTAACCGTGGGGTTTCACTGCCGATGCAAAAAGCTTAATTAAGACATTATCCGGAATCGTACGAACAGTCATCGGCTGTCAGAGCGAGATAAACTTATGGGAAATACATACGTTTGTCTCGCTCTGACGCGACCGCAGTTCTAACGATTCCTGCTTGTCTAAATGAACCCTAAAACGTATTCCTATTATTCTCTTTGATATTAATTGAAACTCATGCCTTTATACATTTCTTCATATTTAAGGCGACAAATACACGACACTATCGATTACACCATTACATACGTTCAATTGATTTAATTTAGCGAGATTGTAGCGCGATATTGAACCCTAAAACAATCCATAAACGTTCCATTTTCTCACATCAAGAGATACGGTAACATATTCCCTGTTACGATGTAATCCTTAGTTGCCTTAAGAGTGGTTCCCAACCTTTTGAAATAAATACAAAAAACTTCTAGAAAACTTAATTAAGACTTTCAAGTAACGAAACAAAGCATTTCTAAAGACATCTCAAACAATCCGGCGAAAAGAATTACATCTGTACAAAGATAAAAGATGCAACTCTTTAAGTCGTACGTATCAATGTGGCTGTTGTGAAGGTTGGGCTGCACTGAGCGGTAGGCGTGGCGACGCGGGCTGAGGGCGGAGGGCGGAGGGCGGAGGTCGGAGGGCGGAGTCCCGGGAGCTAGCAGGCACAGCCGCTGTCGGGCTCCTTGTTGTCTCCAGGCGCCTGGCGCAGAATCACTTCGTGCACTACACAGCATTAAGGAATATACATCTACTAATACACAGATATGAACAAATTGGATGTACACTATCTAAGATTCGACGGTAAATTATTCTTTCGTACATTTCTAAATATACTTTTAAAAAAAATATTTGTCTTAAAAAAATGATGACTGTTCAATTAATTCACAAAAAAATATTAAATTGTTTTTATTTTATTCTCATTAATTTGTTTTTGTATTGGCAACATTTAAAATAGTATAAATTTTTTCCTACGCTGGCAACAATTATTCGTTGGACATAAGTGTTTGCTACCATAACGCACGCTATTTTTCTTATATTCATTATATTCAACTAACTATTCAATAAATAGTTAATAAACAACCACACTTGTTTAATTAAAGAATGACATTTAAAATACGAAACAGATTAAAAATTTATTTTTTTCATTTTAAAGATAATTAAATAATAATATTTATAATAATTATTTTGTTTACCTCGTCTTAGACAGTGTATAGTAATTAATAATGAGATGATAACTTAATTAAGTCTTATGTAACATGTTGGGATGATATTTTAATGTGTACTTATAAACTTATTAATATAGCGACATGCAAAAGATAGGAAACTTTTGTAATGACAGTTTACATTTATATTAATACCAAGCGCTAAAGGAATACTATAAAGCTCCTAAAAATAGTGAAAATTATACTTCCTAATTAAAAGTCACTTTTAAAGACATTTCGATCTTAATTTAACTGTGGGTTTCTGATAATACAATCTATATATAAAATATCTCATCCCTGACAAAAAAGAGATAAAAAAAAATCAAACGATGATTTTGGTCTTGGAAACCCACATTAAAAAGTATAACTTTGCGTGTTAATTAAATAATATATAATAAATATAAAAAAACCCGAAACACAAACAATATAAAACTACATGTACTTAGCAATATAAATGAAATAAGCAAATGAAAGTATAGACGGAAATAAAGGCAATGTTTACCAACATACCGAGAAGACATTAGTAATGTTAAGATTTTACTTACAATATAGATGTTAACACTTTATAACCACCACCGACACACGCCAACATGGGGGGCGCCACTAGCGCAACGCAAACACAACTAGGGTAAGATTAGCAAAGAGGTTACTAACATTTTTTTAATCATAGAAAAAAAAATCTGGAATATTTAAGCTCTGTAACTTATTACATTAATCCCTTAACCCTTTTGCCTTTTTTATTTTCAATTACAATCATGTGAAAATTCACATCAAAAGGGAGATTTGTTGGTACTTTACTGCCAAGTATTATTAATGTCATAAGGATTGTTTGTTAGTTTGTATGTAGTCTTAATTATATGTACTTTTAAATAGTACCTCATTACTAATCTTACACTGGAAAAACTATTAAACACGTCCATTCAGATTAGTAAAACACTCCGCGAACGTTCATTAGCCGTTATTTCGTATACAACATAGCGGTTACACAAATCCAATATATTTACGTATATATGTGTTCAATACTGTGCGTGTATGGCGCGAGTGATGTATGGCTGGGGGTAGGAGTGGGGCTGTATGGCTTGTGTATGACGCTGTGAGTGGACTGTATGTGAGTGTAAACACGTGGTATAGTCAAAAAGGATACTGTCTTCAGGAGGCTTGTTCTCCGCCGAATCCATGCCGGGTAGGGCGGCGGCAACTCGTCGGAACAGCTGGAAATTTAAGGTGTACGGTTAAATATGCATGTCCTGTACAAGTAAGAGTATAAGATTATAGAATAAAGTAGATCTTATTAAAATTGAAAACATCGTCAAGGTACAAAAATGCCTTTTTTCGTTTTAAAAAAAATGTTTATTAAAAGTATACGTGTACATATTTACATTAGTAATTCCATCAAACATTAATAACTACTACATTTTGTTTATAACAATTCGATTTCCCGCGCAATTCTTCCATTTTTCACTTATCTTTTTCTAGATCGAAAAGGCAAAGGTCTTAGTTACCATTATGCCACATTTGGCCGAATGCAAATTTCTTTTAACAGATCTAATAAAAAAAAAGTACGACCTACCTGTTTCACATTGTATCCTGCCTTGGCACTAGTCTCAATGAACATGACGTTCAGCTCACGCGCCTTGCGGTCCCCATCCTCAGTGGAAACCTGCCGCTTGTCAGACAGATCCGTCTTGTTACCGACCAGCATGATGATGACGTCAGAACCGCGTTCTGTGCGCACGTCATCGATCCACTTCGACGTCTGGTGGAATGAGTTTGCATCTGTAAAGAACATAGAAGCAATATTTAGTACTTGAAACATACATAATTACTTAGCTTTCACGCTGATAATTTTGCAACAGCAAATTTTATACGTAGAAAACGTTACTTTAAGTGGACTTTTTTGTCTACAAGACACCGTAAAAGGTGTCCTAACCTTTACATCAGACAGTCTTACTAATACTTTCTTTGAGCTTTAAGTTTTTTCACATTTATCGATCTAATAGCATTAATATTCAGCGTATAAAGTGCGAGTGCTTCGGAGCAGCGGTCGTAAGTCGTGACGCACCAGGCGAGTCGCCAGAAGACAGCTTTACGAGCAATTAGCCACACTTTATCGCTTTTATACGCGCCCTACAAACGAACAGCAATCGTAAAACATGCTTGTTTCACAGTTGCTCAAACAGATCGTTAAACAATTAGTGATGTTTTTACGAAACCTATACAAAGACAGTGATTAAGACATAAAAAAACTAGCTGTCGCCTGCGACTCCGTCCGCGCGAAATTAGAAAAAAATAGTAGCCTGTGCTTTCTTCCAGATTATGTTCTACAACTGTGCCAAATTTCAGCGAGATCCATACAGCCGTTTTTCATCAAACATCCAACCATACATTCGCATTTTTAATATTAGTAAGATTTGGAGTAGGCGGTTTAAGCTATATAGTCAGTTTTTCAAATATAATTAAATAGACGTCCAAAATAAGCTGCTATATAATAATATTCAATCATAATATTATTAGCGAACATTAGAACATTTTCAACCTATGACCTCAGTTACATATCGAGTTCACGGACCTTTTTATCACACACAAATTAATTTATTCATTAATTAGCATAACATAAAAAAAATTGATGAAATATTTAGAGATAATGTTTATAACAATTCTATACATTTACAGCTCAGAGGCTTGCAATCAAATTCACCGGCGTAATACTATTGTACGAATGTAATGTAATGGATACTAAAGGATTATATGTGAGGCGGAAACAATACTATGTATAGAGCTTCTGACAATGTATATACACACTACTACACTAAATAAATGATAGATTTAAGAACTTTTATATGAGAGATGTTAGTAAAAATATTTTTTGTCGAGCGAGCGCAATTTCAGTTTGTTATTTATACGGAATTTAAATAATACTATGTGGTTGGTTGGTGGTCTAAGCTAGAACTCAGTGTGTTTTGTCAAAGATAATTACAGGGATGATTATGTTTCATATTTTAGTCTCAGAAATCAACGGTAAGCCACAAAACTATTTGAAGCTTCAAAATTCATATATTATTGAAAAATATTTTAATTCCGTTCATATTGGACCATCGGAACGTTTCATAAAGTTTTTATTTTAATAAAACTACCAGTTTGACGTTGGCTTTTCCAATAATGCAAAAAGGTTTCGTCAACGACCTATTTAGTAAATATTTGCCCTCTGCCAAATGTCACACGACAAACTAAACCAAGTTTGTCAAACACTTTCAACGAGAGAAATCACAAACGCGAAACAGATTTAATCAACTCTGACAAACTTAACGTGTTACTTAATTTGGCAATTGTTTTCTTAATTAAACTGTATAACTAAATATTTAAGCTCTTATTAAATTGGTAACTTAAATTATATGTTCGTTCTATCGTTGCCTAGTATTTTGAAAAATTTCATTTGATTTAAATTCTTGGAGTCTAGGTATGGTTTATCCCTACAGGTTTTTATATCGTTTCCACTGCGAATTGTTCAGTAAATATTTTTACAATAAGGATTTGCTAGAACCAAATTGCGTTAGATGTATGCCGTAGCAGCTTTAGGGTAGGGCGAGGTGGGCCGACCGCCCAGGGCGCCTGAGCACCTAAATAAGGGGGCGCTGTAAAACTCTCGCCCAGGGCGCCGGATATGCTGAAAACCGGCTCTGTAAGTATGCGTACTTAGTTCCGCTCACTGCGAACTCTCCTATTCATTAAATAAATTTTATTTTTTATAAAAGAGTACTTGTGTAGATAATGCAAACAGAAGCTGTACAGCGGTTTTAATTTTAAATATAGAACACGTTTTATCTAACCTAGATTTTAAACTGTTGCACAGTGTGCCACACTACGGATACAAATATTTCAATTTTTATATCATATTAATAAGACGACCTTTCAATTAAAAACAAACCAATGGTACAATCCCAACTGAATTTAGTTATGGTCATGTTATTTCCAAAAATAGCCCCCCTAGCTCTGTTTCCTTTTGTTCCAGAAAAAAAAATTATTGTATAATACAATTTGTCGCAATGCCGTATGTAAGCTATTAAACTTGGCCGGCTGTAATATTTGCTGGATTAAACTTAGGCTCTGTCTAGACATCCATTGACATTTATAGCCACACATAAAGAACATTATTTATTTTTACCATTAATCCTTTTATCGCTTTTTGTGTTCATTTTATTAAAATTTTATTAATTAAATAGAAGTAAATTTGAATACACTATATGGCATATTTACTAGAAATAGAAAGAATACATTATGAAAATAAGATATTTTGCATATATTCGTTTCCAATGCATTCTTGTTTTTTTTATATTATTTTATTAAAACGTATAATTTTAAAGTGTTTAAAGATTTATGGTTGAGGTTTCGATGTTGCGTAACAAAATTATAATAATGTAAAAAAATGGTAAAATGAGACGCAGGCCTCTGTCTGTATTAGGACCTCCCACTTCATATACATCCCACGCAAAAGCATTTTTTCACTGAAGTGTAGAAACTCAAGGTTATCTGGTACCCACACAAAGATACACATATTAGTTCATTCCATTAAACTATTATACCTTTAAATTTTAAAATAAACCAATATTTGAAATGCATAAAATATTTGATCTCGCGAACTCGTAGGATTGTGTCTAGCGATATATCGAACGTTTTATGCATTTGCCTCACAGTGCAGTAAACATTCACAAAGATATTGTTATTTCTCAATCTCTCTCTCTCTCTCTTTGTCGGGAAAAACTGACATCGCACCATGATTTTCTGTAAATTACGATCTCACGGTAACGAAGAGTCGCACCGTTTCTGTTCCCATCCCACAACATTCCATTAACGACGCACTTGGCTTTTTGTAGCGTGTCTCAATGGACTGCTATAAGCACGTAAATTTATGACTTATCTTTTTTTAATTTGAATATTACATCCATCCATCTAACTTTCGCATGTATAATATTACTAAGAAATCTCTAAGACACTCTAAGACTCTAAGAATATATTTCTCTTAAAACAGACTATCTTATAAAATTTAAGTTACAACAATTGGTTGACCCCGAAACGTTAGTATAGCAAGGCAAGTTTGGCAACCTTATTATAATTTTTTTTCATAACTAGGTCGGCATTATCCTTAGCCAGTTTTATATTTGAAAACTTTCTTAAGCTTTTTAATAAGTTCATTGTTTTTACCATATTTGCATTTTATTACACTTAAGGGATTTCATATAATCGTTGAACGTAGCAATTATTTTACATTTATTTATTAACCAAGAATCAACACACCAAATATCTAGATATTTGGTGTGTTGATTATAATCATAATAAAAAGAAATATCTAGATATCTAGAAATTTTCAGTGAGACTGTCACTTTCGTAACATCTAAGTAAAAAGCAAAGAAACCGATATTTATTGTGCGGGGGTATAAAAGATTGCAACGTGCAGTCTCGGCTGCAACAATAGGTAGTGTGAAAAGATTCGATTGCAGCCTGAAACGCTGAAAGTGTGCCGGCGACCTCGCAATGAGCACCGCGACGTAATACTAACAGTAAAAGATTACACATTATCGATGCTTAGTAACCCGAAGTACTTCTTATTTCTTACTGATATAAATATGAATGTTTGGATAGATGGAAGTTTGTTGGAAGGTATCTCCAAAACGGTTCAGCAAATCTCGCTGAAATTTGGCATAGAAGTAGATTAGTAGCCTGGAAGAACACGTAGTCTACTAATTAAGTTTTTTTTAATTCCGCACGGACGGTGTTGCGGGCGACAGCTAGTAGTAAAGTAGACAAACGCTTAAAAAGAATGCGATAAATTAAAATTCCACAACAAAGCTTTTTAAAAAATTATACACATAAATGTGGTTTCCAATATTTCCAATTCAAATCAAAAACCTCAAAAGTGTATTATCGAATTGTATCAATCATATACAAGCAATTATACAGCTAAGTATTGTAGCAACAGTTTCATATCTTACAATTGAATAACCTTAAACTATTTGTTGCGTTATACACGCGCATATTTGAAAACGTATAAAAAATATCTTAGCTGCAATTAATTCATTTAATTCCAATGTCAATTCATAAAAGAAGTAGACAGAAAAGAGTAAAAAGAAGTAAAGAGAGAGAAGTTAAGACAGAGTATGGTTTTATACAAGTGTTGTTATAGAATCTTGCGTTATGTTTTTTGTTTCGAGTCACTATATTATAAATGCGAAAGTTTATATGGATGTTTGTTTGAGGATATCTCCAGAACGGCTCAATGGATTTCGATGAAATGTGGCACAGATGTAGAACACAGTCTGGAAGGGCACATAGGCTACTAATTAAGTTTTATTAATTCCGCGCGGATGGAGTTACGGGAGACAGCTCTATCTAAAAACTTTTGTGGAGCATTCAAAACATTCAATATAATAATGTAAATGTGTTGAGAGTGAATTTTAAGCGCTGACGTAATGTAGCCCGTCTAAAATTCAAAGCGCGTAACATTGCAATAAAAGTAACAGTTTTACAGAACGTGTTACATCGTAACTCGCAATGTTTTTTTTTCTTGATAAAGGCATAAGTAATATAACAAACGTGAAGAATATAAATTATTTATTAATGCTCATCTTTACTAAACTCAAAACTGAATAAACTACTAGAATACAAACTTAATTTTGATTTAAAGCTTAATTATAACGTAATCTAGTACACAGTTTTTTTTACAGACGCGACAACATTGACTCTTTTAGTTAGGACTGTAATAACAACGGATACGAATCGTCGGCCAAATTTTTAAAAAGTGCACCACACAGACACATTATCTTCACTATACTTCCTATTTATTAATTTATCTATACAAAGTTACATTTGATGTCGTCATCTACAAACGTTTTATACAGTGATATTCGAAAGAAACATGATTTTACCATATATTTAAAAAGGTTTATTAACACTAGAGACATTTCGCGCGCTTCGCTATGAGTCACGCTCACCTTTATTTAAAACCCAAGTCCCAAGTGGCAGTAACGCGGCATTAGCGAAGGAGATTGCTTCATTTTGGGTGTATTAAAGCTTAGCCTAATATTTTTTCGGTTTATCTGACATCTTACTTATATTATAAATGCGAATATTTGTATGAATGGATGTTTGTTTGAAGGTATGTCCGGAACAGCCCAATGGAACACATAAGCTACTCATTGAGATTTTTTAATAACGCACGGACCGAATCGCGGGCGAATGCTAGTAATAACATATTTATTTAGATACTAGATTTTTTCATTTATTTTCCGTTAACAAGTAAAATATTTTATAACATCTAAATTATTGTCATTGTTATTGATAAAGTTAATCGCACTTTCTGACTAAGGACGACCTTCAATGTTGATTTTATCATAGACTTTATGATTCACGTCTAAATGTCAAATTGTAAAAAGCAAAACTAAAACCATATTGGTATAGGCTTTATACAAAAACAGTGATTTTATTTAAACAAAATAATGTACCATAGTGAGTTTTTAGCAGTGGATATTTAGACCATAGATTATGTAAATCAACAGAGATGACAGAAAGTGTTGATTGTATAATCTGTACAGACTGTTTATTCCGACTGGTTCAATGAACTGTCGTGGGTCAAGTGGCAGTGCAGGCAACTCCTGTCGGCTTTCAACCTCTAAAACAACTGGATAACCATCGACATGTACGATGACGTCATCCCTACGCTACGTGATTTTCAATTGGTTTTCATCTAAATTAGGATCTAGAGAATTAAAAATTAATTTAATTTGTGAAGTCATTTTTGTAATAAGAATATGTAACAGACTAAGATGGTTGCTGTTTAATTTAGTTGACGCTCGAAACGCTTTAAAGCAAAATTGAAAAAACAATGATGAGGTCATCAAAATAGTAATGACTTGTAGCAATTTAAATTTGCATTACCTTTTCTATTACATCATCGAAGTAATATTTTATATCAAGAAATAGAAATTACAAGAGACAAAAATACAAAATGTATATGTATATTCGTAAGTTTAATAATACAGTCAGATGAAACTGCGCCAGATAGTCATACAAGACGCTGTCTGTGGTTAAACTCGATTCGCCGGGTGTACGTCGGCTCGGGAAAGAAAATCGATTTTGAGCGGGCTCGTAAAAATGTTTAATAAGCTTCGGGCAAGGCTCGACGCTCCGTAACTACATCACAAAACGTAAATAAAGTAAATACATCTACCTCTGGTAATACTTTTCTCTAGAAATGTTACCAGGCAAACTTGCCACTGGAAACTCTTACATTTTGACGAAGACAGTATATATCACGTATTAAATCTACATCATGTTAGTTTTTAATAATTATAGAAAATGTTTTTCATAGCCAAATGTCGTACATATCTAAGTACCCAAAGACTGTAAATACCGCAAAAATTCTTCTGTCTGAGAAATACCTACAATGGACTTGGAAACTTCCTTGGACTTAGAACAGTTTTAAGTGTCGTTAAAATACACTAAAGTACAAAGTTTTATTCAAGTGTTTAAGTTTATAACATCTGAAGACACATATCTTGCGGTGACGGTGCTCGAGGCCAATCGCTACAGCCACCGCAAAAGCAATGTGATATCGCCTAGGAATAACCTTATTGTATTGTATATCGTATATATTGATTTAAATTAAAATCATTATTAATGACTAGCTGCCGCAAGCGACTTCGCGCGCGCGGAATTAAAAAATACACAAGTTACCAAATGAACCTAACCATTCTTTAAAAAGAAATCTTTTCATACAATTTACATTTTTAAAACACGTATAAATTCACGAGAAAACAAAATATGAAACAATTTTCCAAGTGCTTTGTTTAACGATTTAAATTCGCGACGTTTAGAGTGCTTTCCGCCACTCACGGCCACGAGGGGTCTGAGATCTACCTTCTTGACATACATAAATGCCATAAAATTTAAATTATTACTTTATCTGTTAGCTAATTCTATATAAACAGACCTTAAACTGTTAAAAACAAACATATACTTATAGAATTACAAAACTAATAACTGCTTGACACAATTTCATTCAATCTATGAATTTTATTATTTATCATAACCCTTAGTACTTTTTTGTTTTATATTTTTATTCATCACACTTTGTTACTAAAAGTCAATTCCTAGACAACAATCTTCTCTTTATTTGAAACAGATTGAGACTTTGTTTCGTATCTGGCTAAATGGACCAACGAGATAGGTAGAGACTTCCAGACCGAGAATCGATTAAATAGTTACTTGAGTAGTACCTTAGCGTAGATTTTCTACTCTAAAGTCTCCTTCAGTAATGAATAATACAATTAGCTTTTTAATTCCATGCAGATGAAATTGACGGCAACAGCTAATATATTGATAAAGCAAAGAATATAAGAGTACTCACTGGTAATATCATAGACAACAACAGCAACAGTGGAGTCCCGGATGTATGAGGGTATTAGGGAACGGAAGCGCTCCTGTCCCGCTGTGTCCCACAGCTGCAGGCGCACCGTACGGTCCTCCAGGTACATTGTCTTTGACAGGAAGTCAATTCCAATTGTTGCCTACAAAGAAAACATTTGTTGAACATTTGCTATTCTGTTAACTGTTGATGCATTTGAAATATGAAATTATTGGAGTCCTAAATATCAATGGACTTATTCAGTTTTGTGTTACCATACATGAAATATTAATATTTATACAATGATAAAAAGTTAATAAATTTATTGTCTTTATCTATTTTAAAATTTATATAATGATGTAATAAAAATGTATTATTATTCCTTTACAATATAAACTTTTTGCAGCTTAGGTTTTATTTTGATTGGGATAAATAGATTTAAACAGTCCAATTCTTACAATTCAATGGTTAAAATAGATGAAATCAGAGCAAATCAAAACCTTTGTCCTTATCTAATAATAGAAATAACATTGAATCTTAATGTTTTGTAAGTAAAGTTGTAACCTAAGAAGGTGTAGCGACAGACAGGACGTAAGTCAAAACATTAAGTCAAAAACCTTGTGTGCAAACCCAGGTGAATAGGATAAGACCAGGGAGATGAAAAACTATCATCCATACACCAATTTTGAAGTTTAACAAATGATGAATAACTATAGATTTTATCTTTAAACTTTTATAAAAGATAAGATTGACTATTATGTTAATACAATTAAAATAACATCATAACACACTTTGATAGATATGTAAAATTAATTGTTAAGATATTGTTAAATATATAATATCTGATAAATCAAAATAGCTCATGGAAATTAGACAAGGACAGTTATATTTTAACAGTTTCTTTTCATGTTTTTATTAATTAATTGCAGTGTATTAATATGGTTAATGCATACATCATTATAAATTTACAAATAATTGTGATAAACAATAAAATATGATGAAACTGTCCACTGAAATAAGTTATTTTAATGATAAAGTGAAAGTGAATTGGTCAAATACAAATGTTTATTTCGTCATGAAATATATTTCCAACAGTAATAAAGTAGTGTAATTAAATCACATAAGAATAACAAATTAGTACATTAAAAAACTGACTAAGAAAAGTTATGTTCATTTAACTTTTAAGACATTTGTTTGCAAAAAACATAATTGTGCACAAAAACACGAAATTCTGTCCATTTAAATTATGAAAATTAATTCAACATTTTCCATCAATAAAAATCGCAACTATACTTAGAAACAGAAAACTTAATCGGTTTATAATTTTAGAAGTCGCATAAATAGACAAATAAGAATTTTAGTGACTCACCTGGTATGTGTTGTCGAAGCTGTCGTACATGAACCTAGTGATCAGCGAAGTCTTGCCCACTGAAAACACACAAGTCTAGTGTAAATGCGCCAAATCGGTCTACAAGTTATAATCAAAGGCCACTTGATAGAAGCCAAGAGGTTGCGTGAGAATTTCATGTAGTTCATCTGATGCCATTCGTAACCTACATCTCGGAACAGTAGTAATACCAAGCCAAATCCATTTCCGATTGCAGTATGTTTCAAGCACAGTGGACGATCAACTTTTTATGGAATAACATATATTATTTCATGATCTTGGTAGTAATATAAATACGTGTCGTAAAACTAGAATCTATGTATTAAAAATGTACGACGGAAAAAAATTTCGACGGCCACTTACCGCTTTGCTCTCCAAGAAAAACGAGCTTGAATTTACGTAAGGGATTACCGAATTCACCAGAAGCAGACATCGTGATGGATATAATTAATTTAATGCGCTAAACTATAATTTCACAGTAATTCTTATCACAGAAAACTACATGAACAATGACAGTTCGGTTCGGGCCACTCCTGCGGCACACACGAGCGCAGCGCCGCCACGTTACGGCAGACTGACGGCTCAATGTTTGAGCCAACTCAGCAATATTTTAATATTGAATGATATTACTTTTCATAACCTTTAGTCCAAAATAATATAAATATATTTTGCTAACAACAATTCGTTGCAGAAGTATTATTTTGTAATAAATATAATCCAAACAATACAGACGAAGTTTCGGAAATTTCGTCAAAATGAATCCTGAACGCATCTTAACGTCAAATTTTAAAGGTTCGTTCAAGTATAAAAGGATAAAGAAAAAATCAGTAGTATTAGATGGTAACACCGTACGGGTGGCAGAACGGTAGGATTTTATCTACAAAAGAGGTGGCATCATTGGTATGCTCTTGCCATTGGTCGGGGATGATACGATTCTTTTCAACGGTACGACGCAACGGCTAACGACTCGGCGGGGGGGTCAGTTACTCTGTGGATGCGCGTCAGTAAGGTGGTTAGCAAATTTGAGAGACAGTTTTTAACCTAACATCAGAAGTGGGATTAGGGCCTACGCCATAACTATTTCAACGGTGAAAAAGTATTTATTATGCCACCAACAAAACGTAAAGTGAGTGAGTGCGCGGGACTGCAGCAACAATTAAAGGCCATGTTGACTCGTCTAAATGCGTTAGAAAACAATTCAACGCAG